TGTTCATGTTTTTTTCAAACTATAGTCTGGCCCCCCAACATTCTGAGGGACTGTGAACTGCCCCCCTGTTTAGAAAAATTTGAGGACCCCTGTGTACTTAGCAAATCTTTTAGCGCCTCTGTGGCTGTGATAAATATAAACTGAGGAGGAGGAGCTCTCTATTGGGTGGGTCAGATGGGGTTGTGATCTCCAAGCAGTGACACCAAACATAGCTCTCCTCCTCTGTGCAGCAACTGTGCTCCATGGAGTCGGCCATGATCCAGGCTCGGAAACGCAAGCGTACCAGCATTGAGAACAACGTGCGGGGTTCACTCGAGTCGTACTTCCTGCGCTGCCCCAAGCCCAACCTGCAGGAGATCTCGCAGATTGCTGATGACCTCAGCCTGGAGAAGGATGTGAGTGACCCCCTCTTATTCCATTTCCCCAAGCGTCCGCCGCCTTGCCGCACTAAATCCTTGCTCTCCAGGGTCAGATTTTGGTGTCTGATGCGGGGTGTGCACAAAACTTTTTTTTTTTTTTTACTCAGCGCTTGGAAGAAATAAGGCTGAAGGTTTTGAGTAGGTTACATTCCAAAAGAACAAAACATTTTTTTTATTTTTTGCCTAAGGAAGCAGTGGGAATTTAAAACTCTTTTTCTGTCCTGGGGCCAAAGAAGAAGGTAGGGTAATAGTGCATTCTGAATACTTCCAACAAGCTAATTTACAGAAAAACTGGTTTAGAAGATGATTTTTAGGTTGGGTGGTAAGCAGTACGCTGCACAGATCACCAGCCTACCTTCTTTTTCAGTCATAAGACAAAAAGCGAGGGAACAGAGTGCCTATTGCGGAACTCATGGAACAAAGATGTTCTGGCATATTGTCAAAACTCAGGACAAAATGCCAGAACATGATGCTTTCTCTTCTGAATTCAGAACACTCAACGTGTCAATGTGGAACATTCTCTACAACTCAAGTGACAACTTCATTTTCATCATAGTAACCCTAACCACTTTAATTTAAAAAAAAAGTTTGCCTGTTGAGTTACAGTTCCATAATACCTGATGTAGGTTTCACCAACTTGGTGGAAGTAAGATGTGTTGGATTATAGTTTCTATAATTCTAAGCCAGGATGCCAAGACTTTTATTTAATTGCAGAAAGTATTTTTTTCTGCAGGCCATTGTTTATATTTAGATATATTCACTTGAATTCCTGCTTCTGGCTCTTAATATTGTGGTGATTGCCTATATATGGACCTCAGGCTCATCTTTCACAACTCATCATGGGACTATTGACTTTGTGTTCTACTAACATCAACCAGATTCTCTGGAAACACATAAGGACCACAGCAACCTTTTCTCACAATGTTTGTTGTAAGAACATAAGAGCAATCCTGATGGATCAGTTCAGGTTCCATATAGCATAGCATCAGATGTCCCACGATAGCCAGCCAGATACTAAGGAAGATATGGGGACAAAAGAATCTTCTTGCTCATGTTTCCAGGTATCTGCTCTACACATAAGGGAAGTCCTATCGAGGAAGTGAAATTAAGGGTAGTCTCTTGGTTGCATTGTTGCCACTTCCTGTACTCTTTTCCAGCTCTTATTGCCAGTTATCTAGAAGGTTACTAAACTGTCCACAGTATTCCAACAGTGGCTGCACTAAGCACGTTTATGTGCTGGCATTATGCTAATTAAAAATTAAATGTTGACACTACTGCCACAAGACACTTGAATTGACGAAAATCTTTTGTATTTTGATTCCCAAGATCCTCTCTTTCATTGTTCACAAATAATTTAGGCCCTGTAAGTGATACCTGGGTGTTAGCAGGGATATCTGTTTTCAGATGTATGGTTTTCCCCAACTTGCTATTGTCCCTGGTGATTTGGATTCCAATCCTCAAGCAAGGGAAGGACAGCCCAGTGAGTTCTTGAATTTGGTTATCAGTTGGAATTCTTGTGTGGTTGTTGATCACTCAACAATGGCATTGTACTCGAGCCACAGCTGCAAATGTTTTTTGTCTGTATGTGATGCATGTCTTTTATCATTACCACAATTGTGTGTTGTGTGAATCCTGCCATTGGCATTTGGAAACCATGGATTACTGCTTAGCCGGTGTGAACTGAATCATCAGTGGTTTACCCAAGAACCACCCGGTGAAATAAACCATGCTTGACTGCAATGTGTGAACCCAATTGGGATGTCACTATCTACATTGTCTCTTAACTTGCTTGCACACACACACCCTTTTAACATACAGAATACTTAACTACTGCAAAATCTCCCATTATTCCCATTTAAAGGATGGGAACTAACTCTGAGAGTGTAGAGAGTGCATTGTTCATTAGATGCAGAGATGTCAAGCACAATTAGTCCCATAGATTCCTCTGCTGTTGCAACATTCAAAGGCAGGTCATGCAGAGCACTTCTAGAGGATGGGCTGTGCAAGAAACTATGAAGAGAAGACCATTGTGGTGAGCATTAGCACACAGTCATCTGTCCCTCATTATATTGGCTTGACAATAATTTGCACGTGCTTTTTCTCTTGTCTCTCATCTTCGTAGGTGGTCCGTGTGTGGTTCTGCAACCGCCGTCAGAAGGGCAAGCGCAACCCAGGACCTGGGCCTCGGGATGAGTGTGATGGTCCTGTTCTACCCCAAGTGTGTCCTCATGGCCCACTCCAAGCTCCTGGGCTTGGCCCTGCCCATCACCAGCTGCCTCCACCGGCACAGGGCTACAACACAACTGCATTTGCTGCTGTCTACCTGCCCCAGTTCCATGAAGGAGATGCTTTTGTTCCTCCCACCTCAAGCTCAGCAGTGATGGGCCACCCGATGCATTCAAGCTGAGGAGCCTGTTTTGCAAACCTCAGCATCTAAATTTTTAATCTTGGGGAGGTCCTCCAGCCACTTTCTATTTCTTCACTCTTTCATCCTTTAGGAAAGGGAGGGGCAAAACCTTAGGTTTTTGTCCATCTTACTTTTACGCTCAGGGATGCAGAACTTCTTGGTAATGCTTTTTTAATCATGATTTTAAATGATTCCAAAATGATTTCCCTTATATTTTCAGAGTAAAATCTGCTGCTAGAACTCACTCTCATTCCCAAACCTTTTTGTCTCTACAGGATCAGTAACAGCTGATCTTTATTAGTTTGGCATGCATCCATGCACACACAATCCAGATGCTTCTGTCTCCCAAAGACCAAAGAATCTAACAGACTTTGGGGAACCGAGCATAATCAGACTGCATTGCCCATTTTTAATTGACGCATGTTGAGACCAGTAGGGCTTATAAAGGCTTAAGAGCAGGCCCTGTTCTCATAAATGCCCAATACGAAGCCATGAGACTTGGAAGTTCACTTCTTTGTGGAACACAGCTCCCCTGCAGATAGAAGGGATTTGGGTTTCTTTTTTGTCACGTTTTAGACACTGCCCTCCTCTCCTGAGTACATGGAGAAAGAGGTTTTGAAACCAGGATACGCTGTCTTTGTAGACCTGCGATGGGGTTGGAGACAGGCAGAAATCTTCTCCCTCTCTGAAAATCCAAGATCTTAGACACTAGAATGCATGATACAAAATATATTTTTAAGCAGGATATTCTTTCAGGGGTTCAGATGTCCCCCTTTTTCTTCCCTACCATGTCACAAATTCAAAAACAGGGCAGTAGGTTAAAGGAAAAACAAAACATGGAATGGCATCTAGCCAGAAATGCCGAAATTCATACCCCCTTCCTCATTTCTTTGTCTTTCATATGTAGTAGTGTATCTGACATGGGGGAAGAATGTTGGTGGTTGTATTCTTTTTATAATCATAAATCCATAATGATTTACCTCTGTATTTGATCTTCATAACGTGCTCAATTGTATGCATGACATAAGAGGCCTCTATTAAAAATTTTGCTGACTGATTAGCGTAGGCGTGAATGTGATTCCTTTGCAAAAGCCAGGAGTATCCTTGTACCTAGGAGGCTGAAGGTAATGTGTTGGCCGCAATTAAACCAACCCGATACCTTTTTCTTCCTCTTTTTATTTTCAGGCTCAGTGGACTAGTTCGCACATGCTAGTGCAAATGGCCTAGTTTGCACACAACACTAGTGCTTGTTATGGATCAATGTTACATGAAGACCAGGACACTAGGGGTTGTTCAAACCATAGTTTAAAGCTTGTGGCCATGATTTATGGCTAATGACAGTACCACACCATCCATAATAGTGCTGTCCGTAAACATGACTGACCTCATTGTTCATCCACATCTCTCTGAATCCCAAGGCCTCTATGAGGGAGGGGGGATACAGTGTGCACTGTTTGAAAGCTTCCTATAATGAGAACAGCCACGTATACCCAGTCCATTCTTTCTCTTTTTGATCAATAACAGATAAGGGGATTTTCCTATTATCACAGGATTGCTTCATTTATTTGAGTATTGACCATTTACCAGTCATTTTGCAGAGAGATCACTCTTGGGGGCATGGTAATATTTTAGCATTAATATTTTTTATTTGGCATGTTCATATATCTAACCTGGTTTTTTCCCCTCTCCCCACCACCACCACCATGCAAGATAGATTGGCCAAAATGACTAGCCCGAAGTCACCCAGCAAGCTTCATTGGCCGCAGTTACATAATGGTTACGTATTTTTTGCTTGCTGGCATCATTGTTACCCAATTATGTTTATCAATCCAATCTAGAACTTCATTTATTGTTCTAGCTTTCTCTAGTTTAGGTTTTTCTTGAAATTATTGGTTCAGGCATTGATATTTTTTCTACAAGTGAAGACTGACATAAAAGCCAAGTTAACACAAGGTAATACCATGACTTGATTTGGGCTCAGCATACTGTGTGAACCTGGCAAATTGTTCAACTCAAGTCAAAGATCAAATTTAGCTTCCATTTTATCTTAGTCTCATCTAATTTTCCTCATCTCTCATATAAAGCCTCCTGATCTCCCTACTATATTTCTGCAGTTTTGCCATTAGCATCCTATATTTATTTTATTTATATTTCAAATTTAGTCACTGCCCTTTGCAATGAGCAACTCTAGCCGGTTTACTGGTGCACTGCTTTTCCAAGCGCAGGGCCTTCGCTGCTAACCTCTCCAAAGATTTCAGTGGCACAAAAACTCTGGAATTCTTCCCAGCATTTTCCAACTTTGGGATCCGCAGACTTCAATTCCCAGCATTCTCGGCAAACGCCCACACTGGCTGGGGCATTATGGGAATTGGAAGTCCAAACATCTAGCAGTTGCCAAAGCTGGGAAATGGGGTTTAGGGTAGGAAGAAACAGCTGAACGAGGCCTAAATGTGTCCAACAGGTGGAATGACAAGTTGGGTGAAAGAAATGGAAGTGACATAATTGAACCAAGTCATGCAAAAGGAATTCTCTCCACTGGCAAATCTTTCAAGCAGAACCTGTTTTTTACATTGGCATATTTGACGGAGAATTTCTGTAGAATTCCTGCAGGATGTGCTAGATTGCCATTGCTTACGTGAGCCATTTCATTACCAAAGAGGAAGCTAAAAAGGAACAGGACAAGCACTCAAAAGCTTGTCCATTTTTTAAAGCTTCTTACCAGAAACTTTGTGATATCTGAGATCACAATGAGAACGCTGAGCACTCTCTTCACTGTTCAGGCCACAAAGCCTGCTGTCGTAGGATTGTTTTCAAGGAAGAACAATTAGTTTGAACACAGCTAGCGTCAACACGCGTTCTCTCTTAACATTCATGGAGCCACTAAGTCTGCAGTTTAGGTTTATTTCAATACTAAGGTCAGGCCTGTTGCAAGACAAGAAATACCTTGTTACAGGAAAAGGATACCTTTCTTTCCTTCCCCCCAAAGACAAAACCACCTTGCCAAGTGCACGAGAATAAACTTGATGTCTCGTCCCTAAACTACAGGAGTCTTTGGTTGATTTTTCTTGTTTGCTTTTGTGACAGAAATTTCCCTGTAGATCTACAGGAGTAGCTTATGTTTGATTTTGGCATATTAAAAGGCAGGTTTCCCAGTTTGAGCCTCTACTCGCTAGAGACAGCAAAAGCAAGCAAACCCAGCATGAACAGAAACAGGATTGGCGTAAGAGCCAACCTTCCTTTTTAGCTGCCAAAGTGCTTTTAGTTCACGCTGCCTGAGAAAGCAAGGCGGCCGCTAGGGCAGAAGAACCTATGGTTTACAGCAAATGCCCTCTTTTTTTTCAATGGGTTAATTTTTTGATCTCCTGGTGCGTCTCTTGCTAGCAGAAGACTTGTATTTGGCTTCTGAGCAGACTCCCTGGAGATGCAGCCTGCTGCTAGCATTTCCCCAGGTTGAAGATCTTTCGTTCTGTGGCTTGACCATTTCCGTCTTCTCTCCCATGCTGGATGATTCATTCCAGATGTGCAGCCCCAGACGCCCCGCCAGTGGTGAGAGAGGCCGGGACCTGCCGCTCAACATCTAGACAAGCGTGGATTCCCTGTCCCTTGGCAGTGATCTGTAGAGGTGGAAGCAGGATTCCACTTGTCCAAGGGGCGATGGTACCTCCTCAGCTTTCACACTCTCTCCGGTAAGGGGAAGTGCCTATCTATCTGGGATGCCTTGTGCCTACACATCTACACACATCTGGGTGTTCTTAGGACAACCTACCAGCCATGCTGCTTACGGGCAGACTAAACACGATTTCAGCTCCTATGCTAGAAATCAAGGCTACTGAGCATTCTCAAGAAAGATTAAAAACAGCAACCCTGCACCTTCTTCATGTGCCCCTTCACCTTTAGGCAAAAAAAAAAAAAATACTGCTCAACAAATTCATGGGAGCATACGTTTTTGCAGCCTACAGGCATTTGGCCCTCTTAGCTAGACAAGGGACTGCGATATCAGTTGATCCGCGAGGGCGTACGGATTCGGCCTCCGTTTAAGACCACCAGGCTCCCCACCTGCCTTTCATTTTATAGAGTAGCTCCACTCTCTATCTGCAAATATACACAATATACACCGAGGATAATGCCATAGGAACCTCCTGAGACCGGCTCTGCTATCGCAAGCAACCCCTTTGCCTTCAAGATGCTACAATTGTTGCTTTTAACACATAAGGAGAACCAAGTTAAATCAGAAGGAGCGCTCAATTATATGTCTGCCTTATTTGCTTATAAAGTGCAAGAAGCTTTTTTAAAAAGTCAAAAAGGGATTGGTAAAAGAATGAAATCCTTCTCTTTCGTTCCCCACCAGTTCCAGCCCAGTACTGGAGGCAAGAAACAGATGGTAGAGTCTCTCCATGTTCTTTTGGTGTTAACATTCAAGCAGACACACATGCTTCTAAATACGGATAAAGCAGATCACGAACACTACAAGCAACAGCCTCATCAGTTCAAGTTAAAGCCTGTTCATCTCTCTGGAATGTAATACTTTTTTTTTCATTTACTTCACCTTTTAACCCCATGCTTGCTTCTCTGTCTGCCATCCCACCACCCAAATGCTTGAGAAAGCAGAAGGTGTCATCTTTAGAAGCACATCCTGTTCTTGGAAAATGGTCCCACTCTTTCTCCACGTGAACTTAGTGAGTCTGGAGAGCTTCATGAAGATGCAATTCTTGGAGCTGCCTTCCCAAGTTTGCTGCTTCTGTGTTTTTGCCACTGCTGACCCTCTAAAGCAGTGTTTCTCAACCTTGGCAACTTGAAGATGTGTGGACTTCAACTCCCAGAATTGCACTGATCTCCAGGCTCTTACTGACCTTCTTCAGATGGTCACCAGGTGATAGTTTAGAGCACAGAAGCCAGGCTTATACATTGGCTGGCTGGGGAATTCTGCGAATTGAAGTCCACACATCTTCAAGCTGCCAAGGTTGAGGAACACTGCTCTAAAGGCAGAAAGCAACTGGCTAGCTGGTTGCTCACACAACAGCATTATCCCTCTCTGTTATAAGGCACTTATGGTGATCAGACCATTTTGCATGGTCAAAAAACTGGTGCCAATCTGAGTTTGACATATTCGGCTTTTTTGATGAGTTTGTTGCCTGAGTCAGCTGACATACGGATTGTTCTTCCGTGCAGGGCTTGAGGAATGAAAGACTCTAGGAGTGGCCTCGGCACCAAGAGTCCATTGCATCTATCTCCAGGCTCTTACCGACCTTCTCCAGATGGTCACCAGGTGACAGCTTAGAGCATAGGAGCCAGTCTGATACATTCTCACGAATGCTTGCTTTGCATGTTCTCAGCAAGGCAATGGTTTCCAGAGAAATGGAGCTGACAACTTAGGAGTCTGTCTCCTTCACATGTCAAAGGTTGCTCACACCATTCTGTCTAGGGGGTTTCCTTTGCACGTACCCACTGCTCACCATATTTAATATCTGCTTCCTTGAAAGAAGACTTACCCTGTGCAAATTTTCAGTAGTCCACATATGTCCATCAGGGATGTTAGTTAAAAAATTCTTTTTGAAGTCACTGATGGGACCCGTTTTCTGTGGAGAATTTTCTGACATTATGAACGGCAGGCAGCACATCGAAAATCTGCCTCTTTCACCACACTGTAACTGCAGCCCACACACGCAACATGGAACCAGGCATCGCAGCCATCGCATTGGACCCACTCCACCATCTCATCCTGGGGAAGGCGGCACCGGGGAGCCGCACATGGCTCCAAGGTAGACAGCGTCTGTGAGAAAACTTGGCCAGCACTTCCCAGAGGATTCTTCCGGGGCCGACCACGACGCTTCCTGAAAAAAAAAACTGAAATAAGGATACCACATTTGTTCTCATCATCACCCAACCACACTCCTTAGTTAGTCAAGATCATCTCAGATTTGTTCCGGAATATCAGCAAGTGAACTGTTTCCCATTTAGAACCAATTTATTCTCATGTATATTAGGCATGAGGGTGGGTTTTTTTTTTCTAACCACCTTCCTATGATTTGGTAAGGAGACAAATTTTTTTCACTGAAAACAGAGAAGCTTACATCTGGCTATTAACAAAACAATCGCCTGTATTTTTATGAGTCTGAGAATCTACCATTCCATCTTCTGTTATTCAACTTGCTATGCTAAATCGTATTGTCTAAATGTCATTCAAGAGAGAGTTCATGCTCCCAGATTCAAAACTGGCAGTGGGAGACGGTAGAGTTGCAGAACTGGAGAAGATGCAGGAAAGAGCAACCAAGGTAAATAAATAGGGTATTATTATATATTTCCTACAAGGAAAGACTAAGGTGCATTAGGGCTTTCTTTGACTGGAAGCTACTTCAGAACCAACCAGTGGAAGATCTTTGTCACTAAGCACTTAATAAATGTATGAAACTCAATGCCACAAGTATTGGTGATAATCACTTGCTTAGACCACTGTTATATTCCTCTAGGACAGTGTTTCTCAACCTTGGGAACTTGAAGATGCATGGAATTCAACTCTCAGAATTTTGGCAAGTTGAAGTCCACACATCTTCAAGTTCCCAAGGCTGAGAAACGCTGCTCTAGGATGATAGACAGCCTTCCTCCCATACACCAGATAACAAAAGCAGGAAAGGGCTATTGTATCTTGCTTATGGCCTTCCCACTGCAGAACACAGAATGCTAGACAAGCAAGGCTTCTCTTGGTCACATCTAGTTAAAACTAAGTGGAACATCAAAACAAAGAGAAAAAAAA